TTGGCAAACATTTTTGAACCACTAATTTGCAAATGCAAAATTTACACAGCTCCTAAGAAAGCATGCAGCTTTCACACATCTCCTGGGGATCTGTGCTGTATTAGTCAAAGGTTTAAACCCAGTGTATTCCCCATGAATAATCTTTCTCTCTTTACCCCTCCTTCTTCCTGTCCACATCTAAATGCAGAATCCTCATCTTCCTTGTCTTTAGTTTACAGATTATGCGATCCAAAGTGTCACTCACTGGATTACTGCACATAACCTGAGCACTACCCAAAGCTTACTTGTCTTCAACTTGTCCAGCATTACTTAAATGGAATTATCCGTCACAATCCATATACCGAATCTGCATAGCTCACTTATCTCAAGATTCTGTGTGTCACCTACCAGATTATCCATTTTAATCCATACATTGAATCTACATAACATATGTCTTTAATTCATGGGCTCTGATGGGCTATAGTATCGCTGAATGGATTATTTCTCTTTATCCATTATTGGCAGTCCTAAAACCGTTCACTGCATACTCTCTCATGCCCCATCTTCTGAGCATGTGAGCAAAATCAGAGTCTTCAGCAAACACAGCTCTATCTCTCATCAAACACAGCCTGACACAGTACCTGCACTGATACTTCATGCAATTTGGAACCCAGTTTCTCACGAAAAACAAATGTCTGTGTTATCGTAAATTGAAGATTGGGATTGGTAGGCTAATCTCTCTTTCAATTACATCCATAAATCTGTGGTTACTCCAATACAGTCTCCGGAGTCACCTGGATTTAAGTGGACACAATGAAAAGCTGATTTTAACCTAACAACAATCTCTTTCACAGTGAGTTCAGAAAACACTTCACCTGAGTTGTTTACAAACTAACCTGCACAATAGAAAAGGTTTTTCAAACAACAAAAATATATCAGATTCAGACTTGCCCAGTCTTTCTTGAGAGATTTGGGCACAATCACTGTTAACAATGCCTTCAACAGAAAACCAACCCAGAAGGATTGGAAACAAAAGTCTGATTAGCCTTTTGTTCCATACACCTATTCAGAATTAGCTAAGTGGGGAACACATAAAATACGCATTATTATGTCTTGACAAGTTTCAACAGAGAGATGGACAAGATTAGCAGCAAGGCTTTGTGCACACCAAGAAAGTTTTGGGAAGAGTTCTCATCGTGGTTAAAGCTGCCTCACTCACCCCAGTGTGAGCAAGGCTGAACAAACCTTGATGAACCTGAGGGGCCAGCACAGCTCCCAAGGCCCAGCACCAGTGAAAGAGAACCTTCATGTTAATTTCATATATATGTATATACGAATTATCACTGATATTTAAGAAATAAATATAATTTTTTATACCTTTTCCTAGTAACAGTGGAGGATAGCACCTACTTTCCCGCTGCAATGCACAGCCAACGAGGAAGTTACACTGACAGCAGAAAAGGGGGATGATTTTCCTTCCTGTAGACAATCAGTTTGAGACCTGAAGATCTCTCTGCTCCACTGAATCCAATAAACTGCATTATCCATGAATAATCCAGAGGCCTTCTGAGCCCTGGTTTTAATATGATGGATATAAGTAAGTTTGAACAGGCTTTAACCAAGTCAATATAGTTTTACAGCTTCACTTTAAAATACTTCAATTTAACAGCATGTTTTGTACGTTTTGCTATATAGTGACTAGTTCTGAGCACAGTAAAAATTCCACAGATATCAAAACAGAATTTCTTAAGAAATCTCTAGTGCCAAACTTGTAATTTAGCCTCAGACTATTTCTCTGAACAAACACAGGTATTGGAGTTACAATTTCTACAGACATGAAAGGTTCTAGATTTTGCCTTGTTTTAAGAGTATTCCCTCGCAGTACCTTTCAGTCAGGCTGTGGAATAAAACAATACATTTCCTTTTCAATTAGTAACTGGATATATACAGATCCTTCTAATTGTCATCTTGAAGTTTGCAGCTGGCTCTCTGCAGATACTCAGTAATGGTTCTTCTGTTTTACAGGCATGCAGATGAAGAAATGGGGGTTCAAAGTAGCAGCTAAAGGTAACAAAGCAACCAAGAGAAACTGAATACAAAACATATAGTTTTGTAGGGAGTCTGTCACTTCCATCCATTCACCAAATTCCCTATCGTTAATAAAATATTACCGCTTTATAACTTAAATCATGCTAATAGAAAATAAAATTTTCCTCTACATCTCTCTTTCTTTTAATCTCTCCCAGAGAATAAAACTCAATGGCAATAACACAGGCTTGGGCATTAACAATATGTAGCCTAGTGCTGAGACTTTCGCACATGATGTACTAAAACTCCCCCAGACCTAATGAAAAACACAATGAAATTTTGAACAGTTAAATGGAAAAAACTATTCAGTGCATAAGACAGTTGGGCAGTACAGTTCCTAGTGCTGTCCACATTCCAGGGTGTATTAATAATAAGACAGTACTTAGGTGGGGGTTTCCAAATATCACTAATAGAGAAATGAGGGGCGGAAAAAACACAGCTGCCAGGCCAAATAAAGAGAAAGAAGTTAATTAAAAAAACACAACTGGAAAACTTCATAACTACAGAATGACAAAATCGTTTTGTAGCATAATATATGTGTGTTTGTACACGTGTATGTGGGTATAGAGCAGCTCAACTTGCACACCTTTCCTGCTGCCTCACTAAATATAGCAGCAATACAGCTGAGCCATTGTTTGTTGGCTGCTCACGGCTGATGGTGCCATGAAAATCACATTCCTGGGCACTAAATAATCAGCCTGCCTGACCCCCCAAGAATCTGTAAGTCAAATTCATTTACCCCCAGAGGGCAATGCTCTATTGTATCCTCCCTCCTTTCTAGCCACCTAGGAACAATGGACAATAATTGCAACTGTCACGGCAGTCAGTAGGAAAAATAAACCAGTGCCTGTTTTCACAGCTTACTGCCAAACTTGATCCAAACACCTAATAACCATGCCCCCAACCACAGAACCACAGTTCCACTAAAAAGCCTCAGACGTGAGGCTTTTGAACAGAGCTACAGAACAATAACTCGACTTGTGTTCAAAATATAAAGCTAAAAACCAAAAATTAAAGCAAAGAAAAGTCTTCTTTGAGGCTGTGCTGTTGCTCCCCATCCTTTCCCCTAGGCACGACTGAAAGGACTGTTGAATTTCTCTCATGGTAGCATATAGCTGGCTGCTGCTGCTTTCAAGTTTATCTTGTGAAAGGGAAAAAGAGGAAGGGAGAAAAAAGATTGCCCTCCAAAAGAACAAGATCATAGGCACTGGGAACAGACCACCTTCTCAGTGCACAGCACTCTTCAGAGCAGCTCTACAGAGTCCAAAGGCACTGGAGAATCACTGGAAGTCCTTCTAAAGGCTCCAGAGTGTCAAGAGTTAAAGAGGCTCCATACAGTGTGCAAAATCTGCTGAAATACATACCCAAAAGTGGGTATGAAAGATGTCTCCTCATACTTTGTCCCTGAAACGTCTTAAAGATTCATCAGTTCATGGCAAAGGATGAAGTAACTTTGAAACAACGTGCTCTTAGAACCCACAACTCCCAGGTAAGTCCAATGGCTGCCCTTCCTCCTTATGACCTGCTGCTTTACACACATGGAGCAGGAATGAAGAACACAGGGTTTGGCCCTCCGTAGTAATCATCATCATCATCACAACAAAAACATCTCAGCCTACTGGGGGCTGGAGCACTATATTCTGTTATAAAGTAATTCTACATATGTAATGAATATTTATTTTTGAATTACAGCCTCCTAGGGAGAAGCCTGGGGAAACAAGTGGCATATTTTCCTATTTGGGTACATCAATGGAATAGCACAAACTTATGCTGGTGGCTTATTGGCGACAGGCTGGAAGGCCCAGATAATTTAAAAACCTCTTTATTCGCATATGAAGCAACCCATTAACCTGTGAGAGCATGTCGTATTGTATGCTTTACTGAATACTGCCAACCTCTTGTGCATACGGTCCTTAAACCTGTCAGGCACAAGGTTTGGGAGCCTGCCTGAGTGAGGATCTCTAGATCAGGGACAACTTTACTAACTAAACATACCAAAAATAATGGAGAGAAACTAAATCCAGTTTATAAACACAAGAGAGGGGTTTAATTTTAATTTCATTCTACTTTCACATTTCCTAAACAACATTGGCTTGGATTTTGCTACTCCAGATGTACACTGATATAAATGGGAGAAGCATCAGAGTCGCTGTTTCTTCTCAGAGTGATAATGGCTGCTCTGAAAACTTACAATTTTTGACATGTGTATTTTGAGTGAGTTTCTCATCATAAGCACTGCAGAGGAATTATAAAAATATCAAATTACATGAAAACAAACAACCACAGGTTCCCTAAAATGACCTCAGATATATAAAATGGGGAAATATCTTGGCAAAGCAGAAACTACTGTTGCTGGAGAGTGGTCAAATTCTGTCATTTTCCTTCTGGAGTACGGTTTTAAAAGAACATGCTTTAGTGCACAGATGTTGTACGCTGTCTTTTAAAATCTGCACTGGCTAATTTCAGTACCTAGAGGTATCATTACACAAACTTTGCCCTTTTTATTTTTCCCTACATGGAAAAAGAATTAAAAAAAAAAAAAAAAAAAGTAAAGATAAAAATCTGCATCATCAAAATCTGTCCAAACATAAACAAGGAATTCAGATCACCCTCAAATTTCAAAAACTGAGGTCTGCTATACTCTGATACCACATATGTCTGATAGGACTTTTTTTTTCCCAATCCAGCAATAAGATGTGTTCCTTTATAACAGAGAACAATATATGCAACAAAAGCTTAATGTAAATTCATTCACTTAGGGCAATATACCATTTCACTGATTTATATTATCACAGATGGGAGTGCATACATTTCATTTAAACCCCAAATTACCATGTTTGAAGGGGAGGGGAAGAGGAGAAGACAAAGTTCCACAAAGCCAGTAGTATCTGTATATTCATTCTTAATTTCCTTTAGCAGAGAAACAGCGTTACCTTTTATTTCTCCAAAGTTCCCTGATCCCATGGCAAGAAGCTTGTCTTTCCAGTCCTTTGATAGTAGCTTTTCAATACTGGGAGTTTCTGAGTGAAGGGGGGGAAAAAAAACGTAAGCAAATCAACATGACTGTCTCGACAATAGAACTCATTAAAAGTCTATCTGCTAAAAATAAGGCCAACCCTATTCTGGGCCCCAGTTCATAATGACTTCATCAACAAACTGATAAGAGGGGAGGGAAGAGAGAAAAAAAAAAAAAGGGGGGGGAAAAAGAAAAAAAATGAATGTGTTTTGTCACCTGCTGTTTCAAAACCATTAGCTTTTTCCTCTAGTGGAACAAAGCTCCGGTAATTCTTTATTACAATGGGCACATATAAACCTGCAGTTCATTGTTTTTCAATTTGGTGAACAAGTTACTGCCTATAATAGATGCCTGTCAGTTTCTGAGTGTTAGTCTGCAGTCAAAAAATAATTATGTTGATAAAATGCGGAGTAAAGAGAGAGAGAGAGAGAGAAAGAGAGAGAGAAGCAAAGAATTAGCTCCTAAATCTGCTACATGTAATTATATCCCTCTGAGTCTTTACAATTACATCCACTTTATAATGTGTGTTTAAACATCGTGTGGTGGTAAGCACACTGTGGAAAGATTTTCTGGTAACACACGCATTATAAATAATAATAAAAAGTTGGGGTATGGAGAAAAGCTTTAAAAGACTGCAAAATCCAGAGGGAGAAAAGGCATTGCTTAGAATGGAAACCCATTATTTGCTCATTTCAGATTCTATCACTTCCTTTAAAAATAAAATAAAATAAAATATATTTGTTCAGTATTTTCAGGAAAAATGCAGTGAGGGTGTGGATGGGTCTGATATTTATGTCTGCAACTCTTGTGTTCTGACCTCTTTTTGTGTAGAATTTTAATGCATAAGTAAATATAAATGCTAATAAAATTCAGAGAACATTAAACTCAATTCCAAACAATGTAATTGTATATTCTTGTCAGCATTTAGATGGGTACACAATTACAATAGCTTTCAATCCCACGATTAGCGCTGCATTCAGTTAGAAAATGGAGTGTACTAAAAGATAAGTGTCCCAGTATGTGCCATCTAAATAACAATACCCACACTTATTATCTGGATCTAAGACATATACTGCTATTCTCCACATTCGTGTTTATGTGTATTTGTATTTGTTCAGGCATTTGTTTACCCCCTACCAGGAGCATAAAGGGAGTACATGTTAACTTATCAAAGGGACCGTCTGGCCTAGAGACCATACAATTATTAGCAACTGGTTAACTTTCCCCACAGTAAAAACCATTATGAGCAACCTTCATTATCTCGTTTGGCTAATTCCACCTCCTTTCTTAAGCCCCAACTCGGAGCTCGGAGGCGTTGCGGTTCCTCGGGGCGGCTCTGCCGGCTGCGCTCTCCCCGCCAAGCCCCCGCCGCTCCCGGGGGGCTGAGCGAGCCCGGGCTCCCTTAAACCCGCAGGGCGGTATTAATGCACAGGGAACTACAGTGCCACGGGCACAGGGATGCTCTCCTGCATCTCACCTCACCCGCACGGCTGCGCGCACACAGACAGCAGCACAGACACCCGAGCCGGGCGCAGCCCCACGCTCGCTTCTCGCCGGGAGAGCAGCGATAACTTGCGGATGCCACCGACAGCACAGGAGGGTGTTCAGTTCCGGAACATTTTTGTTCACGTTGCGGCACCCCGATCTCGTCCTGTGCACCCGCGGGCGCTCCCTGTGCTGATTCCCGGGCTTGCCCGAGTGAGATTTCTCTGCTAGGATCTCTAAAGGTCATCTCTAAATCTCATCAAGTCCTAGGGGCGCGGGCGGGAGAAGCTGCCGCGCACAGCTCGCTCCGTGCCGGGGCTGCTCAGCCGGAGGCGCCGCCGGGCTCCGGGCACTTGCGCAGCCACTGATGGAGTCCGTCCGTCCCCTCGAAGCACCCACGAAGGAAACAATTTCCCACAACGTGAATAGGTCAGATAAACACTGCCCATTTTCCTTGATTCTTTTTATTTTTTTTTTTTTTAATTATTATTCCTCCGTGCCCTTCTGAAAACTCCGGAACAGCGTGTAAACAGGCCGGAGCAAACGCGGCATTTGCGGCGGAGAGCTGTCAGTCATTAAAAGCCAACAAACCTTTGCAAAGCAGGAATGCGGCAATAGGGATCCATTGTGAGCTGACAATGGGCTCAAGAGCCTCCAGGCACCAAAAGCAGCCCGCCTTACTTTTAAGTCCATTGCCAGCAAAGTCCACGACAAAGCTTTTCCCCCGCGGCTAGACAAAATATTCGCCGTGGTACGCTCGTAAAGAAACACAAGTCTCCTGTCTAAGTTGCCGCCTTAAAGCTACAGTAGCCGCTCGCCGGGGCTGCCAGGGCCCCGCCGCGCTGGCCGCCGGCCGCTGCCTGCCACGGGCATCCCTGTTTGCCTGAATCCCTGCTTGCCTCCCCTGCTTCCCTGCTCGCCGGCCCCCGCAGCCGCTCGGGGAGGGGGCCGGGCCGGTGCCGGTGTCACTTTGCCGGGAGAGTTGGAGCTCTGCCGGTGCAAGCCCGAGCGCCGGAGTCCCCGCCGGAGGGCTCGTGTTACATCCCAGCAAGCCGAGCCCGCCGGTGATGCCGGCAGAGCCCCGGACAAATCGGGGGGGAGTAATGAATGCGGTGGACGGCCATGTATCAATGACTGAATTTCTGCGAGAACGGTAAAGATCTCAGTAGGAAATCATGATTAGAGATGTGAAAGGCCAAATGGCAAAATCCCAATAGTAACAATGCATCTGTTCATTAATGTGTGAATATGAGTAATATGAAAATTTAACACAATTATAAGCCCCCTCAGCAATCCTGATGGCATAAAATAGATTGTGGTGATCTAATCAGTGCTTCCCTTGTTGAAATACTGTATGTTAACTATTCAAGATAACATTATATAGATTTTTTTTCCTTTAAAAACCTCCAAGCAGTCATATTAAATTGATGTCCTAACTTAGTCTTAAACCCCTCTTGATTTAACTGCCATTTTTACATAAGGCGCTTCAACACAATTTTGACACAGAATCAACAAATAATCATCCTTCTGCTAATACTTAAAAAGAACTTTAATTCCTAAAGACAATAGCTTCCCCACCCCTACTGATTTATGGAGTTAAAGAGCTAGGTTAGATTACAGCTTGTTTAATTCTATTATATACCATGTTAACATATTGTACTTACATAAAATATGCTATTCATATACTCAGCCTATCACATTTCAGTAACTGCTTGTGAAATACCTTATGCACCATATCTTGGAAAGAAACATTTATTATGTCATTTATGTACCCCATTAAAAAAAGATTTGAAATTTACACGTTAAATAAAAATAACTGTTTAAAAGGTTATGATAGTTGAGGCTCCACGAATTATACATGAACAAAGTCATCCTTTGTTCAGCTTTTTTTAGACTTCATTGGGAAGATGCTGCTCTCAAATTAAGAGAAGAAATAAATGCTTACTCTTGTTTGCAAGGCAGGCATTCTCTGGATTCATTGGAAAGTCAGTAAAACTTTTAATGCTTGCACACATAATGTGCAGCTTGAAACTGGGAAAGGTGGTCTGCATACAGGAACTACTATTCCTGATTCCTGATCCCTACTCCAATCGTTTCTCTCCTCTTTGATTCCCCAAAATCATGCTTTCTACATGCAAAATCTGAGCTATATTGTGACAGATTTTGGATACGCATCAGGACAGCAATGTATATAACAATAATCTGTCTTTCCAAAATCTACATATGGTGTTCTGAGTATGGCCATGATTTATAATGCTTCCTAATTCAACCTTCAAGAAGAACCCAGAATTACCCCCTTTCCTTCTTCCAAGCCCCACCTGAGCTAAGAATCCCCCCCCATTACCTATTTGCAGTGTAGGTCCTATGGCACATAGTAAACCAATCCCAAGTCACAGCACAGTATGAATGTATCTACAAGACTTGCTCACAGGTTGTTTATGAACAGTAATTCATTACTGTTTGGGAAACATTTTTGTTCCAGACACACTATGAGATGTGTTACATGTTGTTGCAGAAGAGGATTATGGATAGGGCACCACAGAGAAGGATTGAGATGGAAAGAAGAACAGGAATCATTAACTAAACATTGACCAAGAGGTGCCTGACTAAATCAAGAGATACAATTTAATCAATACAAAAATGATTTCCGCTGCCTGTATTCAACACATTTATCAGTCATTAGCTCTTTCTAGAGATATTTATGGCACATTTTGTTTTTCTTCTTTCACCCCTGCCTCTGTTGCTTACATATGCTTCTCCGCATCACTGCATATGGCAGTGCCCACTGGCGAATGCCTCCTCCTGTGCCAGCAGCTCCCTGGCTCCTCGGTGCCCCCTGGTCCCGCCACTCTCCCTCTGTGCCAAGCACCATCCAGACTGACTCCCTCATCCACAACAATGAGTCTTGGAGACTGATGCCAGCAGCCAGTAATTCTCACACAGGCCTTTAGCACATGGAATGAAACCACTTTCCTTGGAGTTGTGGAGAGTCCCACGTTCACTGCTCTGATCTGCATGTATGGATGCATCTGTACGTCCACTGAATTGCTCTTACACTACTGGAAAGCAAATAATCTCAGTAAATTAACATTAAACGGCTTTTTAATCTGATTTTTGGTATGCTAACAAGCATGTCACTGTCCCTCTACTCCTGCATTTGATATTTAAATACAGTTTCACTGACTTATTTGCTTAATAGCCCTAAAGTTTTCACACTGGGAAAGGAGTGGTTTGTTTCCAGGAAATGGACAAGGCTTCAAAGCCATAGTAAGAGAGAGGCACAATTTTTATCACTGTCTGCTAGACTTCTATTGAAGTCTACTTCCTGAAGTTCATTCTTTTTTGAGCATTGTAACTCTCCTTTGGGAGCAGACCTAGTCCTACTCTCAAGTCAGCGGCAGCACAGATTCACATGTACCTGGACCTGCCTCAGCAGCCTTCCAAAAACAGTCCCACAGCATAGCATTCCCTTCAGGCCTACCCTCTCCAGTAGCTCTTTTCAACCCATGCTCCAGGGTC